AGTGAATGAATAAGCAAGAGAAGATAGACTTATATTTTTTAACAGATGTAACACTCTGTACACATTGTTTGCATCTTGATTTTTTCTTTCTCATTTCATTTCAGTACAGAATGAGTTTCTTTTTTTTAACCTGCAGAGTATTTTTATTATAGTATGATGTAATTTGTTAAGCCTGTCCCATTAATGGACATTTAGATGGTTTTCCATTTTCTGTTAATTTAAATTTTACTATAATTAATACCTTAAGTAATTTCATATATGTGTGAGAATCTGAAAGATAAATTGCTATAGAAGTTATTTTACTTAGTCATTGGGTTTGTATTTGACAATATCTCTTGGAATTCTAAATTATATTTTGTAGTTATTAGACTTAATATATTGCTACTAGCAGCACACAAAAGTATACAACTTGGCATTTAGTGTGTATTCCCTTAACATCCACTCTAATCCCCCCTCTATTTTAAGTCTGTATCCCTACTCAAAATCTAGTCATTAAAAAAAAAATGGAGTACAGTATGAAATTTTGTAAAGGGGCTATATATAGATATAGTTTTGACTCTAGGAAGTACGTTAATGTGAATGAAGCTATGTTTCAGAAGGTTAATTTTACCTTAGTTATTTGGAATTAACAATACATTTTTCTGGTTTTATAGAGTCTTGTCAAATTTATATCTGTAGTGCAGGGAAAGGATAGAGTTGTGAGGGAAATTTTCACTGAACACTGTTACACATGACAGGTGTATTTTATGTTAAAATGACCTTATCTTTTTTAGAGATACATGAGGAAACCTGTGGATGAAATGTTATGCTGTCTGGGAGGTGTTTCAAAATAACTTGGAAAGAGAGTGAGGGTAGAGATGAAACAAGATTGGCTCTGAATTTGTAATTGTTGAGTCCAGGTGATGGGTACATGGGATTCATTATACTGGTTTTGTGGGTGTTTTGAATTTTCTATAATAAAGGTTTTTCAATAGGGTTTAAGGTCAAAGAAAGTGGTAAATATTTGGGTAGATCTGAATAACAGTTATTGTAAAAATAATAACGCCCTATGGAATTAAATATATATAAAATTAAAATATGCAACAGTAAATATAAGTTAGGATGGTGGCAGGTGGAAATGAGTTCCTTTCACTGTTGGGGAGAATGATGATACTGATTAACCTTGGACTTTGAGTTAAGAATCCATATTTAACTTTTTAGAATAGCCTAAATATAGAACAGGTATAGGATAAATAGAAAGCAGAAAGTTCCCTTGTAATTTATTTGTTGGAGTAGTCAACCTGTAGGTTTTCCCATAGTCCTTATTGTAGTTTGTACTCCTGTTGTATAGTTTAAGATTAAATTCCTCTGACCTTTGTGTTTCATGGAACTTCGTATTTTATTCTAAAGACTGGATTGCGGTTCGGTTTCCACCTTCCCTCCCTCTTGTGCCCTTCTATCAGTTGCAACTTTTCTGACATTAGCAGACTTTAATAGACAAAGAAGGTTATAAATGCTGCTTTGAAGAAAAATAAAGCAGAGTTAGGGGAATGGGAAATGCTGGAGGGTTCCAGTTCTGTGTAGGGTGATCAAGATAGGCCTGGCCTTGGTGAGGGTATTTGAGCAAAAATTTGAGAGAGCGAGCTATGTGGCTGTCTGAGGAATAGCTGCTGATTTTCACTCTTGGTGCCTTGTTTTCTCTTGTGTTTGCTTTATTTAGTGATAGCTGTTTTTCAAAAATTATAGGTGGGGATTCTTTGATACTGTTTTAAGATTTTTATACTATATGAGGCCTTAGGATGAAAGTTCCTTTCTCTGAAGAGGATTTGAATTTGCTTTTGTCAGGTGCCTGGGAGATTGAGGTTTCCTGGTCCCTCAAGCTACACAGTAGGGGCAACCCATGACCACAACTTCTGGCAGATTCGTTCTCCCCACTTCCTACCTTCTAATTTGTGCCAAGGCACAAGGGAAAGCCTTGTCTCCTGGCAGTGGAAATGGTATACATCTGCTTCACCATTACTCTGATGATAGAGCCTTTTAGGGGCCCTAGCTTCATCTCCTTTAAACTTATGCCCCATTTGCTTTAACTTTTTGGATTGCCAAAAAGCCCTCAGGACAAAATTTGTTTCAGTGCTTATTTCTCTGGGTTATCACTTTTCTTTTTTTGTTGTTGTTGAATCAAAATTGATTATACATATTTTTGGCATTCAACATTGAGCTGTGTTGATCAAATCAATATTATTAGCATATGTATCGTTACAAATCGTAATTATTCTTTATGTCCCTTGTCCAATCTCTCCCCATCCCCCTCTCCCTCCCTCCTAATTACCCTGGATTTCTTCTCTCCTTCTGAAAGAATAATGGTTACTCTCTTGATTTGTTGCCTAGATGATCTGTCTAGTGCTGAGAGGTGTGATCAGGTCCCCCAATATTATCGTAGAGCAGATCCTTCTTCTGTCACTCTGCAATGGTCTTTGTGGAGAGAGACACCTCCTCTTTTCTTTATTTCTGCTGGTGACTCTCCTTGTGTCAATACACTCCAGTGGCTTGCAGACCATCTGCGTGGTGGTTGTGGTGTCTAGCCACTTTCGTGGCAGCCATGGTTATTGTGGTGGCTGTGGTGGGCCACCCACATGGAGGTGATGTTTTTGGCATGCTCCTTGAGGTGCTGGCGCCGTGTGCCTGGTTGTAGGAGTGGGGTCTAGTCTTTGGCTCCATGCCTCAGGTCCCTGGGTGGGCCCCAAGGTGCTGGTGTGGTGTGCTTGGTTGAGGGGAGGGAGTTCCGGTCCCTGGCTTCATCCCTCAGGTCCCTGAGCGTGTCCTGAGGTGCTGGTGGTGTGCCTGGTTGTTGGAGAGGGCTCTGGTCCCTGACTCCATGCCTTATGTCCGTGGGCAGACCAACGGCACTGGCTGTTTGTGCTGGAACTAGTTTTTTTGTCCTTTGCTTACTTCTAAAGTGGGGGAACTTCCTGTTGGGACCAGTACTTGAGCTCTGTGGTTTAAGCTAAATTGCTGCTTTGCTGCTGGTTTCCTAGGGAAGGCTTTTTGTGTAGCACAGGTTATAGTGGTTGACTTTATAGGTACATCTGGCTGGCCCTCCAGAGACTCAGTGCACATGGGTTGTGTAGTAATTCTGATCTGGGCCTGAGTCTTTTCATCAAACTGCACCCCCATACAATTCTATATTCCTGACCAGTCTCCTCTTAGTGGTCCTATGCTGATTGGGGTGCAGATCAGCTGTCCTTGCTGTGCCCCATTGTTCCCCCAGTGGGCCTGTCTCTCCCACTGTCCATGCTGCAAACTCTTCCTGTGGGATGGGCTGTGCACCAGTCCCTTGTGATGACTCACTGGCCTCTGAGTAACTCCATTTTTTCAGTTGTTGTGGCTCCTTGCTCCTATGTGGGTCCATGGGAACCCCATTCATGGTCTTGCTGGCCTGGGGGCCACCGCGTCCCTCTTCTCTCCTACCATCTCCAAGCAACTCCATCCAAAGGGCACCTCTGCCGGCTCCTGCTCTGTGTGCTCAGCAGCTCCAGCCCCAAGGCAGCCACGGCATGAAATGGTCAGAGCAGTTTTTTCTTTCTCTCATTGTGGCTTCTCCTGCTTTCATGCACTCTGTAGGTCTCTCCTCTTCCCCTGAGCTCCAGCAGCCCCAGCTTGGCAGTTGTTGCTTTTTTATATAGTTGTAAATTGGTTGATTTCTGGGAGAGAGTGATTCTGGGGACCATCTGTTCTGCCATCTTGATTGAAACTCATTAATATTAACTTTCAAGTAAAAAAGTTATAACTTCTGTTTACTGCTGTGAAATTACAGGAGTTAGAATTAGTAAAAGTAAATTATCTCCCACATCTTGTCCTAGTGATGGTTTAATGGCTTGTTTCCATATGTGCTATCTGAGGAGGAAGAGCTTTTGTGAAGCTTGCAATTCCTGTGACCTTTGTCTTTTTGGTCTCAACGTTTACTTTCCTTTTATTGAGAGAATGTCAATAATGCCACATTCAACTGAGGCAGAAGTGGTTTCCTTTGAGGTCAATGTATTGTGAAATGACTCTTTCCTCCTAAGTAGGCTGTATTTTGCATTCTGTAGGTATCAGCCTCTGTTCCCAAAGAGCTTACAGTGCAGTAGAGTGACTATAACATATTATATACATTAAAACTCAAACAAAGTTTTATAGGGATATTGTAATAGCTATTTGATTCCACCATCAATTCAAGGAAACATGTTATATTTTGATATTTTATATAACAAGACTTTTAAAAAACAAATACCCCAAATTCTGTAGTTTTCTTATTTTCCTGTCTTTCACATTCATGGCATACACTTTTTATCTCGTTGTATAAAATTATTTTTTTGAGAATTCTACTTAGAAATATATATTCCTCAGTTTTCTAATGTGAAACTCACTACAATCATATGACACTAAATTGATGAAGTGTTTGTAAAGTGTTTTTGAAATTTATGTGGTATTGCTGGTTAGGTAAATATTCTGTGGTTATAATCCAGAGAGGTTGTTTAAAATAACCCGTGGTGTACCTTATCAGCTTTTACCTGATTTGAACTCTCTCTCCATATATTTGTTTTTCGTGGCTGGCTGGTGAGGGGATTCAAATGCTTGACCTTGGTGTTACCACCACTGTGTTCTAACCAACTGAGCTAACAGGCCAGCCCTTCTTTATCTTTTTGTTGGGTATATGTTTGCTTTATTCATACTGGTGTCAATCACCATAGGACACTAGTTTCAATTTAACCTTTTCCTTAAGATTGGATGGGCCATGTATGCTTGCGTGTGTGTGTGTGTGTTGGGTTATGTGTGTGTTAACAAAAGTACACCCACCTCCACTTTTGCATATGATAAACCATAGCAAATTATTTTGATCCTGTTGCAGCTTAATAAGCCAGGGTCTTTTTGGTAGTTGTTCCCCCTCTCAGTATCTTTGGTAGTAAGGAGATGGTTTCATGAAAATAATGGGGTTTTCTCTAGCTTTTTGGTTAATACTGAGCTTCATTCTCTTCTTTTAGCTGTACGTACAGAGAAGAAACGCCTTAGGAAGCCCAGCAAATGGCTTCTGGAATATTCAGAAGAATATGATCAGATATTTGCTCCTAAGAAAAAACAAAAGAAGGTACAGGAACAGGTGCACAAGGTATGTTCCAGCATTTTAACAAAATTTCATTTGTCCTCTGGGAAACTGTAATTTCGCCTTCAGTATTGTATTTTATCTTCATGAGACAGTAACTTCCTAATATGAGATCTTGCTTTCTTTAGTTTATCATTCAGCTTCTAGCACAACACCTAGCATATAGTAGTTATTTAGGAAATAAATAAATGAATTTACATATTATGTGTATATGTATATTTCCCTCTTTGCTTTCAAGGAGTATTTAATTCTTAGGAATATTGTTATTATCTAATGTTAAGTAGAAAACATATATAAAATAAAATATATATTGTCTAATCCTAATTTTTTAAACAAATTTTGTGGTACGTTATTTATCTTATTTTTTAATTCAATTTTTTAAACTGAAGTATTTTTGTCTTTTTCCGTGTCTGGCAACGGATCGCAACCCTCACTGTTGCCCCCGTACCGGACCGGGGACCGGCAACGGGATCGCAACCCTCAGTGTTGCTCCCGCGCCTCGCTCAGCCAGTGAGCGGGAACCGGTCTGTATGTGGGATCCGAACCCTCGGGCGGGAGCGCCGCTGCACTTCCCAAGCGGCGCACTATCCATTGCGCCACCGGGCCGGCCCTAAACTGAAGTATTTTAAAGTAGAGACATTTTGACATTCTACCTCTATGTACTTTAATAGGCATCTCAAAAAATAGAACATGTTCCTTCACAATCAATTTAACATTACCAAATCTTATAAATCAGTGTATTAGTCCATTTCTGTTGCTTATAACAAAATACTTGAAACTGGGTGATTTATAAAGAAAAACAAAATTTACTGCTTAATGTTTCAAAGGCTAGGAAGTCCAAAGTCCAGGAAACACAGCTGGTGAAGGTCTTGGTGGTGGTGACAGTGATGGCAGGGTATCACATTGCGAAAATGTCAAAACAAAGAGAGAAACAGACTCTCCTCTTTTAAAGCCCTCAGAACCACACCCCTGACCACCATTTTTAATCCATTCACTACTGCACGGTCCTACAATCCAGTCTCCTCTTCAAGGCTCCACCTTTCGATTACCATAATAGGATTTCCCATCCTCTTAACAGTGACAGTGGGGGCTAAGTTTCTAATACATTAAACTTGGGGGACACAATTCAAGCTTCAGTACGTTTTGGGGGGACATAATTCAGTCTTTCCACCCCTGGCCTCCTAAAGCTCATGTCTTTTTACATGCAAATACATTCATTTCATCCCCAAAGACTTGTTTCACCTCAAAAGTCCAAAGTTCAACGTCCCATCTGTTAAATTCAAAACAAGTTATCTCCTTCCAAGGTACAGTGGTGGGACAAGCATAGGGTACATATTCTCATTCGAAAAGGGAGAAATAGGCCAAAAGAGAGGTGTACTAGGTCCTAAGCAAGTCCAAAACCCAGCAGGGCAGGCATTAAATCTCAAAGCTGGTGAATCATGTACATTGACTCCATGTTCGATGTCCTCTACATGCTGGTTCAGGAGTTGGATTCCCAATTCCTCAGGCAGCTCACTATGGCTTTTCTGGTCTCAGGTCATGGTTTAGCTCTCCCAGGTTGGTATTTCACTGTAGTAGCTCTACAGGTCTGGAGTCTTAATGGCAGTCCTGCTCTCACAGCTCCACTAGGTATGGCGCTGCTGGGGTTTCTCTGATGCAACTCCGACCCCACGTTTTTGCTTGACGTTGCTCTAGTGAAGACTGTAGTTGGAGAATCCACCCCTGCAACATATCTCTTCCTGGGCCTGCAGACTTTTCCGTACTTCCTTTGAAATAAGGGTGGAGGCTTCTAAGCCTTCACAGCTCTGGCATTCTGCAGGCCTGCAGACTTAACACCATGTGGACACTGTCAAGGCTTCTGGATTGTGTTTTCCAAAGCTGCAGGTCCAGCCACACCTGGGGCCAATTTAACTACAGCTGGAACAGCCAAAGCTTCTGGGGCGCTGGTGCTAGAAGCAGCTTCCAGAGGTGGCCCTGAGCAGCGAGCCTGTGGAGGGTGGCTCATGCCTGTTACCCAAGACAATTCTGTTTCCCTAAGCCTTCGGGCCTGAAATGGAAGGGTTGGTCTCAGAGGCTTCTGCAGTGCCTTCATGACTTTTCCTCCTTCTCTTGATAATCCTACTTTTGTGTTAATCTTCTTAGTACCATTGAGTTTTTCTTCTGAAAATGTTCTCTGCTTCTCTACCACATGGCCAGGCTGCAAATTTTCCAAATCTGTACACTCTGCTTCCCTTTTAAATTCCAGCTTTATGTCATGCCTTTGCTGTTAAAACTCAGCATAGGCTGTTACAAGTAGCCATGCAGCTTCCTTAATGCTTTGCTGCTTAGAAATTTCTTCTGCCAAATACTCTGGTTCACAATTCTTAAGTTCCAACTTAAGCAAAGACCTAGGGTATGGACAAAACACAGCCAAGTTCCTTGCCAGTCCATAGCAAGGGTGATCTTTGCCCCAGTTTCCAGTAACTTCCTTCTTATTTCTATCTGACACCTTCTTAGAATGGTCTTTACAGTCCATATTTCTATAAGCATTCTGGTCACACCACCATTTAATCAATCTCTAAAACTTTCCCTGGTTTTCTTGTCTTCTAAACTTTCACCAGCAGCTAGGCTTTTTCTAGACTTCTTCAAATTTTTCCAGCCTTTGCCCATTACCCAGTTCCATATCTGCTTCCACATTTTCAAGTATCTGTTACAAGCAACACCCCAACTCTCTGGTACCAATTTTCTGTATTAGTCAGGTTCTCCAAAGAGATAGAATCAATGGGATATGTTATAAATATATAAGAGGGGATCTATTGGGGGAATTAGCTCACGCGATTATGAAGGAAAGTCCCACAATAGGCTGTCTGCAAACTGGATGCTAGTAGTATGGCTCAGTCCAAGTCCGAAGGCCTCAAACTGGGAAAGCTCATGGTGTCCTTGGTGTAAGTCCTGGAACGCAAAAGCTGAAGAGTCTTGAGCTCTGACATCCATAGACAGGAGAGAAGAGTGTATCCCCGCTCCAGCGGATAGAGAGAGAGATTCACCTTTTTTCTTTCTCTTTTTTCTCTCTGGGTCTCCAGCAGATTGGATGGTTCCTGCCCCCAGTTCACTCAGGCTCTTATACTAATCTCTGCTGGAAACACCCTCATGGACACACCTAAAAAGATAGCTTTACCAGGTTTCTTGGCATTCCTTAATCTAATCAAGTTGACACCTAGAATTGAACTTTACAATCAGTTTATCTAATATCAGTCCATATTCAAATATCCCCATTTACCGTCCGAGGGTTCGGATCCCACATACAGACCGGCTCCCGCTCACTGGCTGAGCGAGGCGCGGAAGCAACACCGAGGTTTCCGATCCCGTTGCCGGTCCCCGGTCCGGTATGGGGGCAACTCTGAGGGTTGCGATCCTTTGCCGGACACGGAAAAAAAAAAAAAAAAAAAAAAAAAAAAAAAAAAAAAAAAAAACAAATATCCCCATTTATCCCCTAACCTTTACCTTTGGTTTATCCAAACCAGAATTCAGTCTAGGACTATACCTTATACCTGGTTGTTATGGTTCTTAAATCTCTTTAAATCTGGAACAGTACCTTTTTTCGTGACTATATTATTAGCAGAGTGGCACACTAGTGGATTTGTAAGATCACTTCCTTGTAGGTGTCATTTAACTCATTTCTCCAGAACTATCAATTTGATAGGTTCAAGTTAAATATTTTGAGCTAGACTACATCTGAGATGATGTGTGTCATATGTGGCATGACAGTAGTGGGTATATACTCTCCAGTTATCCACAGTTGTGACTGATTCCTGTCTTTTAAGTTATATTCTAACTTTTCCTATTAAGAAGCAGTATGTTTGTAATTTGGTTCCAAAGGAATGTTCTATTTCCCATCAGCCATTACTTTGATGATTTTAAGAAAACACTAGTTGGAGATCCTCATCTGTATCAATAATTTAATTAGAGGTTACAAAGTAAAGACTTTCAGATTTAAAATTTTCTCTACTTTTATTACCTGGCAACCTCTTTCATTAACTGGACTCCTTTATTGTCCTAAAATATTTGAAAGGCAAAATAAGTGCTTATTTCTTTCCCAGTAATTATCAATTTTAACATTAAGGGAGTTCATTAGTAGTTTTAATTGGTGACATATTGGGGAAAGGGTGTTTTTTTGTTGTTTGTTTTTTTCTCCCCCCCATTATTTTTTTGGATTAACATTTTAGGTTTAAAGAGTTTTTATAGCTTCAGCATATCTCAATCAACTGCATTTTTTTCTTTTTAAAATTGTATAATATACGTAACATAAAATTTCTCATTTTAATCATTTTTAAGTGTACAGTTCTGCGGCATAAAATAAAGTACAGTCACATTGTTGTAACTATCACCACCATACATCTCCAGAACTTTTTCATCTTCCCAAATTGAAAGTCTGTATTCATTTGTCAATAATTCTCTTTTACCCCCAGCCCGTGGCAACAATTCTGTTTTCTGTCTCTATATGAATTTTATTATTCTAGTTATCCCATATAAGTGGAATTGTACAATATTTGTCCTTTTTTCCTGACTTATTTCCCTTAGCATAATGTCTTCAGAGTTTATTCATGTTTTGCATGTGTCAGAATTTCATTTTATTTTAAGTGCATTATTCTTTTTGACACCCAAATTATAACAATTTTGGCCTGTGCATTCTGTTTTTATTTTTTGTTCTTAGGCAAGGTCCCGCTGTGAAGAGGAAAGCCTTCTAGCCCGATGTCGATCTAGTGCTCAGAACAAGCAGGTGGATGAGAATTCTTTGATCTCAACCAAAGAAGAGCCTCCAGTTCTGGAAAGGGAGGCTCCATTTTTGGAGGGGCCCTTGATTCAGTCAGAACTTGGAGGTGGACATGCTGAATTGCCACAGCTGACATTGTCTGTGCCGATGGCTCCGGAAGTCTCTCCACGGCCTGCCCTTGAATCTGAGGAATTGCTAGTCAAAACATCAGGTAAGGTGGTTATGGTCTGTTTCCCCACAAATTAATTTGTAGCACACTGACAAGAAGACATTTTTAAAAACTACTCTTGCTCCATTGTTGTTTTTCATAATTGTTGATCAACTACTATGTGAATCAACAACCAGGATAACAGTTTGGGGAGGGGCACTGCATACTAGTAGAATAAGCACTTAAAACCTATGTACTAATCCCTGTGTTACTTGGGAAGTTATTTAACTTCTGAACTTGTTTCCTCAACTATAAAATGAATATTGTGATGTAGTAATGTATACTGTTATATATTTAACATATATCAAGCACCTGATAAATATAAATATTCCTTAGAAATTAATTACCAGTTGCCTCTCACTTTATCATTTTTTGCATACATGTCACCTGGGGAGAGTTAAATCTAAATACATTGTCTTTAATTCACTTTTTGACTGTTGAATATTGCAGTCAGCCAAGGAATGAAAAGAATCCTTCTCTTCTGTACTCCTTAAAATTTTGGATATAACTTTTTTACATTCCTGACAGTAGCATGTGATGTTATGCCTTAAAAAACAAAACAAACAAAACACCCAATTGTGCTTAATTAAGGCAGAAATAAAAAATTTTTTTAAATACTAAAGAGAGTTACTATTTCAATACCTATTATGTACCAAACCCGATCATTAGACTTTTTTATGTAATCCTTAAGAGCAGTCCTATAAAGTAAATAATAGTCTCTTATTTATTAACCTTTATTTTATTTATTTAGGGGCGGAGTAAATATTGTAATTCTGGTTCATTTATGCCCATAATCCAGGCTTGGCCTCACTTCTCCTTTTTTTGTCCTTAACACCAGTTAATTGCTATAAAGTCAGTCTGTCCTTTTGTTTTCTCCCTTAGTTATTGTGAGATTTTAAAAAGTACACATGCTCTGATATAAGAACATCCTCACAGTAGTTTGTGTCTGCATTTAGAACTATTTAGTTGTTTTATTTTGTGTTACGTATTGTTTTAGAATAAATAAATTTCCATCCCGACTCTTACCATAAGATGACAAGGAAAACCTCAACAATAATGTGACTCACTTTGTGTGGTATATAGATTTTTTAAAAAATTAGCTTATGCCCAGTTTCTAAACCATCTTATGAAAAGATACATTCATTTCAGGAAATTATGAAAGTAAACGTCAGAGAAAACCAACCAAGAAACTTCTTGAATCCAATGATTTAGACCCTGGATTTATGCCCAAGAAGGGGGACCTTAGTCTTTCCAAAAAGGTATGGATTTTTTTCGTCAGTTCTAAAATGGGGTTAAGCCTGGGGAATTTGGGACTTTATTTTTTTAAAGTTTTTTCATTTTTTAAAAAAAGATTACTGGTAAGGGATCTTAACCCTTGACTTGGTGTTGTCAGCACCACGCTCTCCGAAGTGAGCTAACCGGCCATCCCTATATGGGATCCAAACTCGTGGCCTTGGTGTTATCAGCACCACACTCTCCCGAGTGAGCCACAGGCCAGCCCTGAAATATTAAAAATAATCTTTTTAGTAGTATTTATAACATTGGGGTTTGTGTGTGTGTGTGTGTGTGTGTGTGTGCAAGTTACAGCATGTAAATAAGCACACATGATCTGTCTGAGAGATGCTATTTTAAAAGGCCAGTTTTGCAGGTGCATGGTCATGTTTATGAACCGGTTTCAGTTTTTCTTTTCAAATTATTTTTTTATTTTTTTTATTTATTTAATTTTTTTTGTCTTTTTGTCTTTTTCCGTGTCCGGCAACGGATCGCAACCCTCAGTGTTGCCCCCGTACCGGACCAGGGACCGGAAACGGGATCGCAACCCTCGGCGCTGCTCCCGCGCCTCGCTCAGCCAGTGAGCGGGAACCGGTCTGCACGTGGGATCCGAACCCTCGGGCGGGAGCGCTGCCGCGCTTCCCAAGCGGCGCACTATCCAGTGCGCCACCGGGCCGGCCCATTTCTTTTCAAATTTTAAAAAGCTTTTTAAATTGAGTAAAGTTTGTTAACATCTCTTTCTTGGGCTCAAAACCTTTTACCTGACTTCTTCACTAATATTACCTTGTCTGTGTGACACCTCAGAAAAGACCCAGCCCTGCTATAATCCAGGAAGAAATATTTGAATTTAAATTTCTGAGTTTGCCACATTGGTTTTTAGTAGTTCAAAAAGCATCATTAAACAGTAGATGGAAGTAGAAAATTAATTTCTAATTTTGTAATGGGTAATGGCTGGATACTAATTCCTTAGAAAACTTCCTGCTCCATTTGTGTGTGAGGAGTAACTCGGGTAAAGGTTAGAAATTTAGTTGTTGAATGCACAGATTTTCTTTATAAATTTTTTTTTTCTTTAAAGAAAAAGAAGTAAATTGTAATCAAATCATCAATAATTTGAGTTTTTGGACTTTTGTCCTTACTTAGCTATAGCAAACTTCTGTCCTGTAATCCTGTTTTATGGCACCTAGTTTTTGTTTTGGTTAGTCACCCATCTGATTTAGCATAATTTTAAAATTTTATTTGTGCTTTATACATTATTGAAAAGTAGCATTATATATTTTAATTCTTTTATTCTTCTCAAAGCAGTCTTATAGAAGTTTTGGACTTTTTAATATTTCTTAGACTGACTTCCTTCCGTCTGGACTCTCTCTGCAGTTTGCACAACTTCAGTGACAATCTCATCTCTCCAACTCACCATTTTCTTATTGAACCATATACTCTAAGAAGCCTGTTATGATTTCCCTCTGTAGCATATTCCCTTTTTGCTTTGTCTTGTTCAAACCTTAGCCATTTTGCAAGACTGTTGGATGAGTTAGATGAGAAGGCCAGGAGAAACTGGAATTCAGTGAACTGGTTTTGAGGATGGAAGTGACATTTGCTGTCAGGTGATAAATTTAGTAGTATTGTACAAGGTGAGTCATGGGAGGCTGTTATATTATTGCAGGAGATGAGTTAATGATAAATTTCTAATAAAGTGAGAATTCAGGCCAGTTAACTGAATAAGTTGAAGGAATAAGATAAATCCTCAATGGTTTTGAGACTGTAGATTACTTTACATTTATATAACCTTTCTCTGTCAAATGCAGTGTTTTAATCCTAAAATGTGACTTGTCATGTGTTTGTGGGTTAATTTTTTCCTAAGGGGATAAAAAAAAAGTGACCATTTAATATACTTTTTTATTTTATTTTATTTTTTAATGGCTGGCTCATATGGTGATCTGAACCCTAGACCTTGGTGTTATAACATCATGCTCTAACCAACTGATGCTCTAACCAACTGAGCTAACCGGCCAGCCCTCACTTAGTTTTAATTTATATAAGCAAGAATATCCCAGACCTCTTTTCGTTTGTTAAATTGAGATATAACTTACACCAATAAAAGGCATAGATTTTGATTATTCTGTTTGATGGTTTTAGACAATTGTGTATACTATATAACTACTACTCAAACTAGGTACAATCTATAATCATCACCCCAGGAAGTTCTCTTGTGCCTCTCTTCTGTCAGTTCCCCACTCTTGTCCACAGGCAATGCTTTTGTATTTCTGTCATTAGAAGTTTTGCTTATTCTTGGACATTGGTTTGGTTCTGTTTTTGTTTTATTCCAGCTTCTTTTACTCCATATATGTTTCTGAGATAAGTTTCCATATCCACAGCGATACCACAGTGATTTATTCCATTTCATTGCTGAGTAGTTTACCATGGTCTGAGGGTACTTCAAAAAGTTTGGAGAAAAATAGAATCGAAAGATAATATGAATCTTCTCATGAAGTTTTCTCATATGATTATATTACAATTTGCTTATCTATTCTCCTATTGATGCACATTTGGGTCTTTTTCATTTTGGAGCTCTTAATTATGAGACTGGAGTGAGTATTTTTCCCAAGACTCTTTGTGGACTTAGTCTTAGTCTATTTTATGCTGCTATAACAGAGTACCACAGACTGGGTAGTGTATAAACGACAGTTTATTTGGCTCATGTTTCTCGAGGCTGGGAAGTCAGGGAGCCTGCATGTAGTGAGGGCCTTCATGCTGCACCATTCCATGGCGAAGGCAGAAGGGCAAGAGAGCACAAGTGTGAGAGACAGGGAAGGGGGTTGTATTAATCTTTCAGGAACCCACTCCCGTAATAATTAACCAGCTCTACAATAGGCATTGATCAATTCATGTGGGCAGAGTCCTCATGACCTAATCATCTCTTAAAGGTCCCACCTCTGAATGTGTGAGTTGGGGATTAAGACCCTAACACATGAGCTTTGGGGGACACATTCAGACTATAGACACATATTTTCACTTCTTTTGTGGTAAATACTTAGGAACAGAATTGCTGGCTCATGCATGTTTTAAGCTTTTAAGAAACTACCGAACAGTTCTCTGAAGTAAGTGGTTGTACTACTTTATATACCACCAGCAATATATGAGAGTACCAGTTGCTCCACATCTTTACTAACATTTGTCAGTCATTTTAAATTTAGCCATTCTGATGAGTGTGAAATGATATCTACGTATGGTTCTAAATTGTATTTCCCTAATGATTACTGAAGGTGAGCCCCTTAGTATGTTCTTACTGGCCATTCGTATATCTTTGTGAAGTGACTGTTGAAGTATACTTATATTTTTGGTTAGGCTATTTCTTTTTCTAAATTATAAATTGACAATTTATAATTGTATAAGTTTATGGGGTACAGGTGATGTTATATTTTATTAGTGCAATGTAGGATAATACTTAAATGAGGCTATTTAACATATCCATCACCTCAAGTACTTAAAATTTTTTGTGGTAAGAACATTTGAAATTTACTATCTTAGCAATTTTGAAATGTACAGTACTCTACTGTTAGCTGTATTCACCATGCTGTGCAGTAGAACTCAAAGGAAAAAAATATTCCTCCTGTCTGAGATTTTATACCTTTTGACCAGACTATCATCTTCTCATTCCTCCAACCTGCTCTCCCCAACCACCATTCTCCTCTGTTTTAGATTCAACATACAAGTGAGAACATGTGGTATTTGTCTTTCTGTGCCTGACTTGCTTCAATTAGCATGTTTTCCAATTCCATCCATGTTGTTGCAAATGACAGAATTGCCTTCATTTTTAAGGCTGAATATCCATTCGTCTATTGATGGCTACTTAGGTTGATTCTATAATATGGCTATTGTGAATAGTGCTGCAGTGAACACGGGGGCACAGGCGTCTCTTTGGCAGACTGATTTTAAGTCTTTTGGATAAATACCTAGAGATGGGATTGCTGGGTCATATGGTAATTCTATTTTTAATTTTTTTGAGGGAGCTCCGTATTGTTTTCCCTAATGGCTGTACTCATTTACATTCCAAACAGCAGTGTACCAAGGGTTCCCTTTTCTTCACATCCTCACTAATACTTATCTTTCATCTTTTTTTTTTTAAAGATGACCGGTAAGGGGATCTTAACCCTTGACTTGGTGTTGTCAGCACCACGCTCACCCAGTGAGCTAACCGCCCATCCCTATATGGGATCCGAACCCATGGTCTTGGTGTTATCAGCACCGCACTCTCCCGAGTGAGCCACAGGCCGGCCCATCATCTTTTTGATAAAAGCCATTCGGACAGGTGTAATATGATGTTTCATTGTGTATTAATTTGAATTTTCTTAATGATTACTAATGTTGTACTTTTTTTTCATGTATCTGGCCACTGCCTATTAAAATTTTTTTCTTATTACTGAGTTGTTTGAGCTCCTTTTATATTTTGGATGTTTAACCCCTTATCAGATGTATGGCTTGCAAATATTTTCTCCCAATAGGTAGGTTGTCTCTGCACAGGTGTTTTTTTTTGTTTGTTTGCTGTGCAGAAGCTTTTCAGTTTGATGTAATCCCATTTGTGTATTTTTGGTTTCGTTGCGTGCACTTTTAGGGTCAAATCCCCCCAAAAACATTGCCCATATCAATGTCATGTAGTTTTTCTCCTATGTTTTCTTCTGGTAATTTTATAGTTTCTGGACTTATGCTTAAATCTTTAATACATTTTGAGTTGATTTTTGTATATGGTATGATTTAAGTGTTCAATTTCATTCTTCTGCATACGGAAATCCAGTTTTTCCATCACCATTTATTCAGGAAACTTTTTTTCCCCGTTGTGTATTCTTGACACCATTGTTGAAAATCAGTTTTCTGCAGGTGTCTTGGTTCACTTCTGGACTTTCTAATCTAATCTGTTCTACTGGTCAATGTATCTATTTTTTTTGCCTGTACCATGCATGGTGTTTTAATTACTATAGTTTTGTAGAATAGTTCAAAATCAGGTCATATAGTACCTCCAGCTTTTTTCTTTTGGTCATGATTGCCTTGGCTCTTTGGATTTTTTGTGGTTCCATTTGGATTTTAGGACTGTTTTTTCTATTTCCATGAAAAATGAAGTTGGAATTTTGGTAGGTATTGCATTGAACCTATAGATTGCTTTGGGTAGTATGAACATTTTAACAATGTTAATTTTTCCAGTGTATGAACACAGGACATCTTTTCATTTATTTATGTCTTCTTCAGTTTCTTTCATCAACATTTTATGATTTTCATTGTACCACTCAACTTTTTATGGTTTTTTGTTTGTTTGTTTGTTTTATAGAGTGCTTTATATATTTGGAATACAAATCCTTTGTCAGATATAGGTACTGTAAATATTTTTTTTTCCCAGTCTGAGGTTTTCCTATTCGTTTTTTTGGTGGTATCTTTTCATGAGAAGAAAATTTTTAATTTGTATTTTTTTTTTCTTTTATGATTACTACTTTTTATGGTTCTTAAGGAAATATTTTCCTCCTCCATGGACACAAAAATGTTTTTCCTTTATTTTCTTTTAGGAGCTCTGTGCTTCTGGGTTTTACATACATATCTTTGTTCCATCCTGAATTTTTGAGCTGGAGTTTTGAAGTTAATTTTTTCTGCATATCGATGCCCATTTGCTTTAGCACCATTTGCTTAAAACTCCCTGATATCTATCTTCCCTCTTTGTCTCTCCCTCTCTCTTCTCTCCTCCTGCCTCATGTTCCTGATCTTTTTTTTTTTTTTTTTTTTTTTTTTTTTTTTTTTTTTTGTGTCCGGCAACGGATCACAACCCTCAGTGTCGTGCCCGTACCGGACCGGGACCAGCAACGGAATCACAGCCCTCGGTGTTGCTCCCACACCTCGCTCAGCCAGTGAGCGGGAACCGGTCTGTATGTGGGATCCGAACCCTCGGTGGGAGCGCCACCACACTCCCAAGCGGCGGACTGTAGCAGTGCACCACCGGGCCGGCCCCTGATCTTATTTTAAATATAAGTTATAATTAATAACTCTCTGTCAGTGTTGAACGTTAGCTTTTTGGGGGAGGAGGGGTAGGCATTAGATTCAGCACCTGAACAGGAGAAAACCATTAATTAATGGTGATGGCTAGCATCAGACTCTGGAGAAAAATTGCCTCTTATCCATTTTAGGAGTCAGTCATGCCATGTGATCTGGTCAGCTTCATTGTTGAGGTCCTGGTTCCTGGTTACCCTGAGGTAGATTTTATCACAAGGTTGAAGTCATGATTCAGTTCCATTCTGGGACTAGGTCATGCGTTACCAGGTGAACCACCCTGTCTGTCGAGAGTTGGTGTAGTATCTTAATAGTATACTGGCTTAAGGCATATTCACCCCAGACTGTAAGTTCCTTTTGTTATTTTAGTAACATTCTCCAAGGCACTTACAAAGTTCTATGGTCTTTTTCATTCTAAGCATAGCAGATGTATTTTTATTTCGTGTAGTGTGACTTTGGTATGTGTGCTGTTATTTCTAATTTAATTTATGAAATTGATGAGGTGGAAAATGAGAATATTTTCTCCATTGTCCTCTGACTATATAGTTTTTGAAATAGTCTAATTATTTTGCTACATGGCTTTGGAGTTACTGTTAAACAATGAATTATAAATTGGTTATCTACAATAATATAGATGTGTTTTTCTTTAAATCATGCAGGTCTATTTTGTTGCTTTGTCTAGGAGTCTTTTGTTCCATTTAACTGGATACTTACCATTTTCCCCTTTATTTTTTATTTCACTTGATAAGACTGATAGTTGTATTCTTATGGTTAGTTAATATTATATTCAGAAATTTACAGCTGTATTTTATCTTGTTTTAGTCTGAAACTTTGGGAATTTTATAAGAATGTCATCTATTATATTGCCTTTTTGTAGCTACTGAATTTTGTTTTACATTGATGATGGTGAAAATTATTCTTATAGGAAAAGGTATTTTCTTGGAATGGAACTAATTCATATAAGCATTGGTAGTGAGTGAATAAAATACATAGCCTCTTGATGTCTGAGTGTTTTGTTTTGAGTTTTCATGTTGGTTTAATTTAGATTAGTCTGAAGCCACTTAAGTTGGAAAGACATTCCATGTTTCAGAGCTGTTTACTTTTCAGAGTTCTCAGGTAAATAAGTTTGTGTCAAATCTAATGTCTGTAAACACAGTTCTAGAAAGCTCGATTTTAAATACAAGATGAAGTGGAATAGAACTTAGCTGGTGGGTCTCTGAGTACATACTCCTCTTTCTTTCCCACTTCAATCAGAGCAGCATTCTGTATCTGCTTTATATATTGGTAATCTCTGGGTGAGCTCTTTTTTTCCCTCCTATGTAATATTGGGGGTCAGGAGTCTTTCAGAGCATGTTTCTTTTTTTATCTGATGCCTTTCCTCATGAAGTTTCTTTTTAACCCTTTACTGTTCTCATATGTTTTTGCCAAAAACAGCATAATTTTTTATCTGTGGTATATAAGGTAAAGTTTATTTTTTATTCCCCTATAAATCATGTTGCTTTTTACTTACTTATAGTGTTATGAAGCTGGTCACTTGGAGAATGGCATTATTGAGTCATGTGCTGCATCTCATTCGAAAGAGTTTGGTGGAGGTGAGTACTTTTAAGATTTAAAAAATGCAATGTGGGGCTGGCCAGTTAGTTGGTTAGAGTTTGCTGATAACACCAAGGTCTGTGGTTCAATCCTTTTACCGGCCAGCTGTCAAAAACAAAAAAGTAGTGTAGAAATAAGTTTGAAGTACTTTGTTCATTAATTAGAAAAATTGTTACATGTATAAGCAATACCAATAAGGTTACAAGTTCTAAGGCTTGTTTGCCCAAAATATGCTTCCTAAAACTATGCATAACACTAGAAAACTTTCTTGTCATTTTAAGGCTTTATATTGTAATCGGTTAAGTGAAGCTACAATTATATTTGAGTAAGGAAATGTTTGGAAAAATAGAGGCAAATCAGTTTTTTAATTTTGTTACTAAACTGCATCTTTAATTTCATGCCTTTAATTCAATTTTTATTTCTATAGGACAGAAAATATGGAACTGGGTTGACAGGAAAATTATAAATCATCTAAGCCATTCTTTCACAAAGCGTCTTAGTTTCTTTTATCACATCTATGGCCTTAGCTTGTGCTTGAAAAAGATGGCTTACATTTGAATCTGTTCCATTGTGGTTGTCTCTTAAGGGCTTGGGAATCTTCTGTATTAATCTTCATACTAAATTAGAATCTGTCTCCTTGTTGATCTTGGTTCTGTCTCCAGGAGGGATGGGGATAGCTCTTCATTCAATAACATATAATATTGATAGACTGAGCATCTATTCTACCAGGTCCTTTGGTAGGACTATTACCTCTAATTCATCTAAAGCATTACAACAAGGTAGGATATTGTCTATATTATCTCTGTTTTATAGAAGCAACGTGAAGATGAATGAGGTAGAAGGGTCAGGGACCTGAATCCAGACCTTACCAAATATATTGGCATACTTCTGTCTTATCTGACCCCAGATTTTCTTCATGCCAGTTCTCTCTATCACTTATTAATTACTGTCATTCTTGAAATATTATCCCAGATTTTAGCACACTGCAGCAGATGTGGTCTGCCAGCAAAGAGTATCATGTGGTCTTAAATACACACTTCTTTTAATGTGGCATATGATGATTAAATTTTTTAACAAGTAAAGCTAGCAATATGTTAGCTTATTTTAACCATGTAGGCAATTATATCCTAGGTTGGTCAATTTGCTTGCTTGCTTGTCTTTTAAATAAACTGCTTTCAAAATAATATCAGCTCTTTTCCTGTACTTTGGTACAGTGTTTCAGTTTTTTGTAAATCTACAATGTGAACCTTCCTTTGTAAACTTTGTCTAAATGTTCCAGCTCTTGAGAATTTTGAACCTTTCTACTGCCATCATATTAACTCCTCTTTTAGTCTTAGGTTGTGATAGCAGGGCTTCTCCATCTCAGGCAGTCAAAAAAGTGAACACTAAGGCAGTCTTCCAAAGTTCAGCCTTTACTTAGCATAAATATTCTGCGACATTTTACCTTTTTAGATTCCTCTTGGGGTTTCTCTGGTAAAGTGTTGAAATGTATACAGTGAAAAATGAGGGAGGGACTAGAATTTGTTTTTCTAAATAATGGCAGATGGGAAGCACATTCATTTTATATTGTTGGATATCGAAGGATATATTATAACTGCATGAATATCTTTTAAGGTGCTATATGTGTTGGGGGATGTTGTGTGTCGTTCTCTACACGCCCCCCCCCATTTCCCCTCAAGCCAAATCTGACATATTTTAACTTTCCATCTTAATTCTTAAATCATGTAGTGATATAACTTACTGTCTCTAATCCTGGAGTCTAAGGATTAGTATCTTTTCCTCATTAGTAAATGGATTTTCTCTCCATCTGTCATGGATGGACAGAAAATATATTTACTAATATCAAAGGATATTAAAGTCCTTTGAGGAACTAGAGAGTCATATAAAACTAAATTGCTTTAATAATCAGACATGTAGTATTTAATCTATATGAGGCAGACATGTAGCCATTTCCCCAAGTAGTTACATAGTCATGGGCGGTCTCTTCTTCTCTTCCCCTATTTTGCTATACAAAGCTGAAGAATTAAATGAGTTTTAAAGTTGTTTTTTACTCTAACATTTCATAATTCTATGAAGTCTTTTCATTGGGGATAGGAGTTCTTGTGATTAGCCAGCAGGTAACATCTGTTTTTGTATCATAGGCACTGCCAAGATATTTGATAAACCAAGGAAACGAAAACGACAGAGGCATGCTACAGCCAAGGTGCAGTGTAAAAAAGTGAAAACTGACGACTCATCAAAAGAGACCCCAAACTCAGAGGTATTACTCAGTTCCTGATCTTTTGACCTTCCTGAGAGAAGCTACTTTTTGTGGTAGAGGCCACATTCCTCTTTCCCTTGAATTTACTTAAGCATAATATTCTGTTGAGATGGCTAATAGCTTCAAGGAATCCTGGAGAAAAAGAAGAGCCTGATCCTAGTAGAAATAAGTCAAGGCACATAATGCAACTGTGGATATGGCCTTTTTATAAGATCACATCCTGTGCTCTAGGTGTTAGATGAAATATGTCACTGTTTCATCTTTAAGTATACTTGTTAAGAGAGCACAATATCAAGTAACCATATGATCTAAATTAACTTGGATATTACCCTTTAAAAGTTGAGCTGAAATTAGGGGGAAAACTCATTTCCTTATTTCTTAAGACCATCAACTGCTTACTTTTAGGATAATGTTTTTAATCATTGGCCTTCAGGAAACAAAGATAGATCTAAAACGTTTCCTTGCAGAGCATCAATGTAGTCATTGATGCTATCTCTGGCTTTCCAACTTAGGTTAAAAGAGAGTTAGAACAAGTCAGGTCAGCATCACACGTTACGATGCAGATGTTTCTTTCCAGGATAATCTGAATAGAATGCCCAAGGGGGGCATTATTTTGGAAACACTGATCTTGGAAGGACAAATAAGTAATCAAATAAACTTAAGAATGTTTTCTCTCCCTTAGTGAAACCTTAAAATGGAACAGCTCAAAAAGTTCCAGTGGAACAGCCTCAGAGCAGTTAGTGGCAGGGCATGAGGCGCCCACTACCCGCCCAATCACAGCAGGGTTAGAACTAACATTGCATGCAGTCCGCCCGCGTGATTGGCTGAACATCTGTAAGTGCTTAATGGCTAGACAAATAGCAGCCCAGAGGGAGGGGGTCAGATGGAGGAGACATTAATAATACAGATATGGGACACTATTTTTTCTCTGCAAGGGAGAACTGATGACACACAGGACGGCTGCAAGCCCCAAGGAGACTGTTGAGGAGGGTATAGAACATGACCCCGGGATGCCTGCGTCTAAAAAAATGCAGGGTGAACGTGGTGGAGGAGCTGCACTCAAGGAGAATGTTTGTCAGGTAGAGAATGTTTACCTGCTTGTATTTTTATTGCATGATTATCTTTTAAAGAGAAGCTCTCTCCATCTCTTGATGACCTTATCATGGTTGGAATAAACATGCTTTTGAATGATTCCAGTGGAGTCACTAAAGGATTTAACTCTTTTCCCTTCTCACAAAAAGAGGAAGAGATAGTTTAGTGTTGGTGAACCACCTGCTCTTATAGTCCATGAGTATATGCCCTGAAGCAGGTGTGAGGTGGGAGATGTGAGTCTGGTTGCTTAGTCAAACATCATTCTCCTGTACTTTTCTTTTTTTTTTTTTTTAAAAGATGACCGGTAAGGGGATCTTAACCCTTGACTTGGTGTTGTCAGCACCACGCTCAGCCAGTGGGCGAACCGGCCATCCCTATATGGGTTCCGAACCTGTGGCCTTGGTGTTATCAGCACCGCACTCTACCGAGTGAGCCACAGGCCGGCCCCTCCTGTACTTTTCATTGTGTGAGAATTTTGGGGTTCTAAGGAATTTTTCACAGGTAATTTTAGCTTTGAGGTGTTTTTGCTTCAAAGTGGTAACTTTAGAAAACCTATCACCTGTATTTTTTCATCTATTTAATAAATATTTATACATTGTTTACTATGTCTCAAGTGTTTTCCAAGCGCTTTATAAGTATTGCATTGTTTAGTCATAGCAATCTCATAAAGTAGAGTTTTATTATTAACCCCATTTTGCAGATGAGGAAACTGAATTACAGAAGTTAAATTGCTTGCTTATAGTCACACAGTGAATCCTGTATTCAAACTAGGCAGTCAGGGTTTACAGTCTTAACCATTGTGTTGTATTCCCTCTTTATGAGATTTGACCCTGTTGTTAAAGAGTATCTGACTTTGGGAATAGAGTCAATTAAATGGAAGCTTTGGTATGTTCTTGATTTACCTATGTAAATTCTTAAAACCTGACATATAAAAACTTCAGGATATTAGTTTTTTGTTTTTTGTTTTTGTTTGTTTGTTTGTTTGTTTGTTTTTGATTGAAACAAAAAATACACCCAGGCCCAGAAGATGTTATTGACAAGTATAATTTCAACCTGGTTTCTTTGCCTTTTCATTTTCAGTATTATATAAAGAAAGTTGATTTTATTTGGACCAGCTTCCAAACACAAAAACCCGTTGTTTACTGAGTGAGATAAGTCAGAGGGTCAATACGTTTTACAAAGATTATTTTTAAAAAAGATTAAAGTTATGGTGACCCTGTGGTCCTAGCTTGTCTAGATAGTCTTTGTGTAAATCTTTTGTCCTGGTATAATTCATTGATAGCACCTTCTTTCACTCTCAAATGTCACAGTTTAAAAGATAAATTTTGGTTATCCCATTTAAAGTGTTAATTCATAACATTTAGTTAATTTGAACTCTTTATTCTTCAATTTTTATTGTAATTGAAGTTTCCCTGTTTAAGTGATGAAGTTAAATTTGTTTACTGTATATTTAAATTGATGTCATTGGCACTCTGAATACATAAAGTTAAAATATATGACATTTATGGCATTTTTCAGTTTTTATATATGGGTAGTGGATAATGGGAGAGTCGAAGTTTTGAGAATATCTACTACAGGTTGATTAAGACCCCAGGGTCTCTTCTCCATCCTGGGCTGCTCCTCTGGCCTTTCTTCCCTAAGCCCTCCTACTCATTTATGTATTTATTTATTTAAGCTTTGATATTTGTAAGTGACCAAGACCTGTTCTGTTTCTTTGAGTTCTTGAAGATAGTAGAACTTGCTTAAGTCACCTTTCCCCTTCCTTGAAGGTGTTTTTCTTTTTTTTAAAAAAAAGCATTTTCCTGCTAATCACTATTAGGATACAAATCAGGGTGTTAGAATGGTGAAAACAAATATTGGGTTTTAGCAGAATTTTCATCAATTTTAGTGTTTTCATAGTGATAGATGCAGATCCTTATTTCCTAAGCCCCTGTCTTAGGTGATACCCTGTCTTAGATGAGATCATCTCAGAAGGGTGATATCTCTGAGATTGTTCTAGATGTATTTCAAAGGGCTATTTAGACCTTGGTAGGAGTTTTGGAACTGTTATGACCCAAGTCCAACTGGCTAGTATCTCTTGCTTGAAATATTGCAATAGCCTTCTGGTTTCTCTTAGCTCTGCTCTGACCTTTCTACTCTTTTCTTTTTTTTTTTTGGCCTTTTTGTCTTTTTTTCGTGACCGGCAACGGGATCGCAACCCTCGGTGTCGCGCCCGCACCGCGCTCAACCAGTGAGCGGACTGGTCTCTATATGGGATCCGAACCCTCAGCGGGAGCGCCACCACGCTCCCAAGCACCACACTCTACTGAGTGCGCCACCGGGCCGGCCCGATCTTTCTACTCTTGAACTCACTTTCCATTTAGCAGCCAGAAGGATCTTTTTAAAAATGAACACCTGATTTCAGTCTTTGCTTGGTAAAGCTCTCCAGTGGTATACCTTTGCAATCAGAATAAAATCTAAAACTACAGGCCCTTCTTTCTCACTTCATTTTCTGCCACTTCTAACCTTTGTTTACTTTAGTCCAGTGATACTGGCTTTCCTTGTGATTCTCAAGCATGCCATGGCTTTTCCTATCTGTGGGTTTTGTGTAGTTGCTACTTTCCTAGTCCTTCCTTCAGGTCTTCATATGGCTGACTTGTCATTCAAAGCTCAGCTCTGAGTCCAGTCTGAGATACCCAATCCAAAGTAGCTATCTGAATTCTCTATCTAATACTTATCTGATATCTTTCCTGTTTGTTTACTTATATCTTCTATCTCTAGAATATAAGAACCATGAGAGCCAGGGACCTTGTGGTACCTGTCACAGAGGGAGGTAATTATTAAATGTTGGTTGAATGAATGGTAGGATTTGTTGTTTCTGGCAAAAGTACTATTTAATCTTTGCTCTCATGAGGGATTTCTACTTGGGAATTTTAAAAGCCTTTTTCCGTAGACAGATTTGTTTTCTTTCTTTTAACAGAACTGTGAGAAACTGGGTGAGTTGCTGTTATGTGAGGCTCAGTGCTGTGGGGCTTTCCACCTGGAGTGCCTTGGATTAACTGAAATGCCAAGAGGAAAATTTATCTGCAATGAATGTCGCACAGGTAAAGTTGATGTAAAAGGGTATTTTTCTGAAGAGGATTTGAATTTTAAGTTTTTCAGGAAAAAAACACATTTATTGGAGACACTACTTTATGGCAGCTCTGAGCTAGTTGTTACAGATGCAGAAGTCAGTGCTGTGTGGTTCCTGCCCTCAAAAGCATATTAAGCTAACAATATATGGTTGCATAATACAGTGCAAAAAGCAAGCATTGAAGATACATTTAATGGGCAGTGTGAACCAAGATGAGCCAATGCCACAGAGGAAGATATCTGAGTTTGGCTTTAAGAGAGAAATAGAGGGCTGGCCTGTGGCGCACTCGGGAGAGTGCGGCACTGGGAGCGCGGCAGTGCTCCCGCCGCGGGTTCGGATCCTATATAGATGGCCGGTGCGCTGTGAGCGCGGTGCGCACAGTGCGGCCAGTCACAAAAAAGACAAAAAAAAAAAGAGAGAGAGAGAGAAATAGAAATTGGTGTGGGGAGGTAAAGGGCACAAGGTCTGGTAATGAAAGGGTATGAAAAATATGGGGAATAGGCAGTTTAGGCCAGTGTATTAAGAGGTCTCAATGGGGCCTTTTACTAGGTAATGACCAGGAAGGCTTTTTGCGTTACTGGTGATATTTTATGTTTCTTGACCAGGTGATGATTACGTGAACCTCTTCACTTCATGCTTATTTATGAAGTATATACACTAGGATATTTACACTTTTCTGTGTGTATATCATACGTCAATAAAAATATTTATCAAAAGAACAAAAAAGATTATTTGGGAGAATTATAATATATTGATGAGGGGTCAGAAAATAGGGACGGTCAGCTGAGACCAGCTTGTAAAGACTTGATAAGCTACTTTAAGGGGATTGTTCTTTTTCATCATGATATGTGGATGTTACAGCATTTGAGCAGTGAAGAAATCAGGGCTGAAAGTATAGATCTTATGCTCATAAACTGTTGAAGCCCAAAGGTATGGATAATGCTGCCCAAAGAGAAAGCATCTGTGGAGTAAGAAGAGGGCCCATGATACTCTCTGGGAATAACCACTATTAAGGAGTTACTGGAGGAAGAGGAGGAGCTAGTCAGTATCTGTTAAGATATGGGAGTAGGGTGTCATCTGCAGAGGCAATTGTGGCAAAGACACTAAGGTGATTCTAAAATGTATTTGGCGGAAGTTGCTTGACTTTCTGCCAGAGGGTGCCACACTAAACCAGGTTGAAGGGTGAATGGGTAGTAATGTACTCTACTTTTTGAAGAAGGTTGACTTCAATGGAAAGGAAGGCTGTACCTGAAGGGAAGGTTATAGGGTCAAGAAGATCGTTTGGACTGTTTGTAGGATAGAGATTAAGAATGAGTGTAGGGCCGGCCCGGTGGCGCACTGGAGAGTGCGCCGCTTGGGAGCGTGGCAGCACTCCCACCGAGGGTTCGGATCCCATGTGGAGACCGGTTCCCGCTCACTGGCTGAGCGTGGTGCAGGCGCAATACCGAGGGTTGCGATCCCGTTACCGGTCAGTAAAAAAGACAAAAAAAAAAAGGTGGGGGGGAGAATGAGTGTAGAGAAATGAATTTCTTCAACAAGAGAGAGAATAATAGTGGAGTACAGTCACAAACAAGAGAAGATAGTCTTGAAGAGATGTAAGGGTAGCAGTGAAACAGGAATGTACCATGGAGTTGTAAGGCAGAAGAAGGAAGCTGAAAATGTTTTTTTCTTGGCTTGATGAGAATGATGGGAAAGGTAGTTGTTTCTAGCTTGGAGGGTAGAGCTGCTGTGAACATTCAAGTCTTTGTATAGATACATTTTCTTTTCTTTTGGGTATATACTTAAGAGTAAAATGGCTGAATCAGGTACTAGGGAACTTGAAAAAGTTCATGGGAAGATTTGTATTATCTTTTAGTTCTGTTTTTCCATGAACTTTTTGAAGTACTCCCGTATGTCTTAACTTTTTAAGACACTGCCAAATTATTTTCTAAATGTACAGTTTTTTAAAAAAATTTGCATTTCCCTAAAGACATTGAACATCTTTTCGTGTGCTTATTTGCCATCTTCCTTGATGAAGTGTCTGTTCACATCTTTTTGTTTTTTTATTTGGGTTTATTTTCTTATTGTTGAGTTTTAGTTCTTTTTATATTCTGGTTACAAATCCTTTATCAGATAATGTATTTTTCAAAATATACTCCTATTCTGTGGCTTGCTTTTTCATTTTCTTAATGGTGTCTTTGGAAAAGCAGACGCTTTTAATTTTGCTGCAGTCCACTTTATCAATTTGTGCTTCTTACAGACTATGCTTTGGTGTTAAGTCTAAGAACTCTTGCTAAACCCACTGTCACAATGATTTTTCTTCTGAGAATTTTATAGTTTTAGGTTTCACATTTAGATCTATGATCTATTTTGAATTAATTTTTCTATATGGTTTATATAGAGAAGACATTATTTTTGAGAGTAGGAAATTTTACCCCAGTTTCAGTAAAGATAGAGTAAGAAGCGGGAGTTGTTTTTTTCTTTTTCTTTTTTTTTTTTTGGTGCTGGCCGGTCTGGGGATCTGAACCCTTGACCTCGGTATTATAACACCATGCTATAACCAACTGAGCTAATTGGCGAGGTCTGGGAGTTGTTTCTTACTGCTTGTGGCTCACCTGTTTTCCTGGAATAGGGTAACCACATCGTTATTTAGATTGCTGTAGTTTAATAACAGCTGCCAGTTATTCAACATCAGGTAGTGGTTTGCTTCTTTACAAATAAATATTTTTAAATTTTTCCAAAAAATTGTTATTAACTAAGTGATCTCAGTGTTTGTAGATGGGATGGGTGATTTGAATGAGCTCATATTTCCAGCAAGTGCCAGTGGCAGGCTTCATGTGAGGTCTGCCTGCCTCTGAAGCCTGGGTTTTTCCCTTTACATTATACTGTATCCCAGAGAGAGGTGGAGTCGTGTCTTTGTTTTTGTGTTCTAACTTTTTATTACAGAAATCTTCAGACATGCACAAAGGTAGAACAGTGTAAAGAATCTTCGTGTATTCATCACTCAGTTCCAGTGATTATCAACTTTCTGCCTCATTTTTCTTATGTATTTCAAAAGGTCTTCTAACAGATACAACTTTTAAAAAATACATCCAATGTGTAGCGAGAGTATCTCGTAACTCCTATGTATTGTCTACTACCCAGTCTGTTTTCAAATTTTCTCATTTGTCTCAAAGATGTCTTTTTACAGTGTTTTGAATTAAGATCCAACTAAGGTCCCTGCATTGTAGGATTTTATATGTCTCTTGTTTCTCCTAATCCACAACAGTATGGCCCCTCTGACCCTATTTTGTATGCCATTTATTTGTTGAAGCCATGGCCATTTGTCATGTTAAATTTTTCACTCTAAATTTGATTGCTGTATACACGATGGGCTATTATTCTGCCCAAAAAAGAGTGGAATTCTCATATTCGCAACAACATGGATGATCTTGGAGAAACTTACGTTGAGTGAAATAAGCAAAGCACAAAGGGATAAATAATGCATGTACTCACTCATAAGTGGGAGCTAAGAGGGAAAGAAGGAAGGAAAGACAGGCCCATCCCCCTTTCCCCCACTCCACTTTGTATCCCTAGGTATGCTCTCTCCCTCTGCAAGTCTAACGCTAACGTTAGAGGGAGATTGGGGATAATTGGGTGGGGGACATGGGGTATAATTGCAATTTGTGGTGATGGATGTGCTGCCAGTATGGATCTGGCCATCATATCTTGGGCACAAGTGGTGACAATCAGCTTTGTACCCCATGAATATTCGTAACCAATAAATAAAATAAACTTGATTGCTCGCATCCTTGAGATGCTCTTTAGCTTGTTCCTCTATCCTCTATATTTCCTGTAAACTTGTAGTTAGATCTAGAGGCTCGATTAGATTCAGCTTCAGTTTTTTTCTTTTGCCAAGAATGCTCTGTAGATGTTGTTGTGTCATGTCCATAACCATGTATCGTCTGATTGTTTATGGTGATATTAAGATTGTTGTTCGTTCAGGTGTTCTCAGCCTGATTAGTGCATTATAAAGTTCCTCACGCACTTCTTAATGGCTTAGATTGGGTAGATCTTGAATTAGTGTTAATTTGTTAACTTCTCTTTGTTTCCTAGGAATCCATACCTGTTTTGTATGTAAGCAAAGTGGGGAAGATGTTAAAAGGTGCCTTTTGCCCTTGTGTGGGAAGTTTTACCATGAAGAGTGTGTCCAGAAGTACCCACCCACTGTCATGCAGAACAAGGGCTTCCGCTGCTCCCTTCACATCTGTATAACCTGCCATGCTGCTAACCCAGCCAGTGTTTCTGCATCTAAAGGTATGGGTTTGTTATGTGAACCAATCTACTTGTAGGACCTTACTTTCATTGGAAATTGATATTTTCAAATACAATCTGTCATGTCTTTTCATGGTCTCTCTCTAGCTTTTGTCAGTTAGAGTACCAACAGTCTACGTGGAAAAGAGGAGAGTAATGGACTATGGAGCCCTGGCATTATATGGTAGTTTTAAATATTTGGATTTCATATGAGATTTAGTTTGAGAAAACTGTTCTGCAGCTTGTCCTATTCAATTAGAAACCCAAAATGTGTTTTCCCCCTGTGGGGCTTTATGTCTCTGGTTGTCAGATGTGATATGATTCAGAAATGCATGATAGGGCTGAATTAAAGGTTTTGTGTTGATTTGTTTTATTTTTAAGATGGAAACTCTTGTAATTGAAACTTTTCTGCTTCATAGTTAGGTGGAGAACTGAGTTTTACAAAACTGTCTGTGAGTATAGGTAAACTCAGGTTTTGAAATCTTTTCTCATCGGTAAAACAATTTTAATAATAGCGGGTCTCTTACTGATTTTCTTGAAAAGTCATGTACTGTGTCCATACTGTTGAATGCTTGTGTGCCAAAACAGCCTGACTTTTCTCACAGCTGATTGAGCAGGCCAAATTTAGCAGTGTTAACTTTTCTTTTTAATCAGACTTACAGTACCTTTTGTAAGATAATTTCCTGGCCCTTAGGTCTCATCAGTCCTGAGCACAATAATTTAATTTTCTGGGTCAAAATTGCAGTTTAGGGGGCTGCTGGTTAGCTCAGTTAGTTAGAATGTGGTGTAGTAACACCAAAGTCAAGGGTTCAGATCCCCATACTGGCCAGACGCCAAAAAAAAAAAAAAAAAAAAAAAAAAAGTTTAACCATTAGCTACCTCTCCCTTTTTAATTGCTATTATAGGTTACATTTAGGTGGTTTGGTAATGACTTGTAGTTGGTGAAGTATGTTAGGGGATGTATTTCATCTGGAAGGGAGTAGAGAGGTTCATTTACCTGAAAGACTTTAAGAACCATAGAGTAGTAGGTAAGCATGAGTCTTTCCTTCCCCCCTTTCTCCCCTTTAGTCTGGGTCTAATTCCAGGTTTCCTAGGAGTCAGGGCAGCGGTTTGCTTAGGGCTTTCCTTGGTGAGGCAGGCTCATTTACAATTATGTGATCTGTGACTCTCTTTGGAGATTTATCACATAGCTCCCATCTGAGCTTTCATGGTAGATTGGGTGTTTAAGATCCACTGTCCTAGTGGTCCTTCCTTTTATTTCTGATATTTTCTCAATGCTAGCAAATAGACTTGAATATCTCACACTGTTTTAATATTTACTGTCTTTTTCTTTTGCTTCTCCCTGGTTTTCCTGTTTCTTATGTATTAGGTCGTCTGATGCGCTGTGTCCGCTGCCCTGTGGCATACCATGCCAATGACTTTTGTCTAGCTGCCGGGTCAAAGATCCTTGCATCTAATAGTATCATCTGCCCTAATCACTTTACCCCTAGGCGGGGCTGCCGAAATCATGAGCATGTTAATGTTAGCTGGTGTTTTGTGTGTTCAGAAGGTAAGATATGACTTCTTGCTGTATAAGTAGTCTAAAAAGAGATTAATACAATGTTTTAATTGAAATAAAAAAACGTTTCTTGACATTGTCACTGGAATAAATATTAGGAAATGACGTCCTGAATTAATGATGACATAGAATTTTTAAAACTTGGCTTTGTCGCCCAATAGGGAGATGTTTTATTTTTGTTATTTTGAATAATGGCTCAATTCTTGTTAACATGGTAAGCAATTGAAACAATAAAGGGCCGGCCCGTGGCTCACTCGGTAGAGTGTGGTGCTGATAACACCAAGGCCACGGGTTCGGAACCCATATAGGGATGGCCGGTTCGCTCACTGGCTGAGCGTGGTGCTGACAACACCCAGTCAAGGGTTAAGATCCCCTTACCGGTCATCTTTAAAAAAAAAAAAGAAACAATAAAGAAAAAAACAAAAATAGAAAAAAATCGCCCCACATCCCATCAGGAAAAAAACATTGCTTAATATTAAGTGGTATTATTCTAGACATTTATGCATGTTAGCAGATAGAAGGGTAGATTTCTGGATAGAAAATGGTATTATTGTATACTTGTGGTTTTTGAATTTAAAGGCGAAAAACAGTGCATCTCAGGGAATTTATAAACTTCAGTTAAGTATTTCCTTGCTATTAGTAGTATTAGTTTTTAGAAGATCTTCCAAGGTAGAGGAAAAATAAATTATTTATTCTTTCCCACCCAATTTATAACATACTTTTTAGAGTAAAGAGTCAATATAGCCCTTTCACATATTTTCTGTCCTCTTTCCTTTCCATCTTTGACAGTCTGATTTTTGCTCATTATATTAAGTGGATGATTTAGTGCTCATCACCAATATGTAAACTGTGGTACCTACATACTTCTGAATTCTTTATTTCCAATTTCCTTTTGATTGACTCAACTTCTAAGAAGAGCCCACAGGTGTATAATTCTGTATTGAGGCATCATTTTCCTTTGTGCTAGCAGGACATCTTGTCTTACTATAAAATGTTTATGTTACATGTTCCTTTTCTAAGATTGTTGTGGACATTGCTCCACTATCTTCTAGTGTTGAGGGTGGCACCAGCTGTTTTCTGATTTACTCATTCATTTTCAAATTGAATTTTTTTGATTAGTAGTTTTTTTGAGAACGATTTTTCTGACTTTTCTGTTTTTGAAAATCTGCTTATTGATTCTGTAGTTTTCTGTAAACTTGGCTGGTTATGAACATCCTGAGGAACTAATTTAAAAAAGAGTCAACAGGTGTGATGGAATGAGAATTGTACTTGGAATCTGAAAACCCAAGTTTGAATTCTGGCTTTTCTCCTTGGGCAAATTACTTTACCAAGGCTTGGAATGCCTTGGTTTGCCCACTTATAAAATATGGTCTCCATTCCCTATCACATGGTTATATTATCACAGTGTAAATTAAATGAAAAGATGTGATAAAAAGCCCTAGCACAGTGAGAAAATAAGTTTAGATGACCACTGGTCTTGTTTTTGTTTTGTTTTACCTTTTTAATTTTATGTAGTACTGACTTTTTTCACAGCCTGCCTTATTCTGTTTGCTTTTATTTCAAAAACTTACTTTATTGCTAATTTACTCTCTTTTCCCCAAAGATGATCTCCCACAAGAAAACAATAGCTTGCCAACTTTCCTCTTCCTTAAGATAGCATTAAGGATGTCTGTATCATCAGGTATATATGCCAGTAATTCTGTAAAATGAGAATTTTCCTTACTTGTGATATATCGTTCCTTTCTGAAACCTTTCCTCTAGCCAGAGCTGTGTCTAATTAATTGTGGAAGTCAAGAAACTAAAGAAATCCAGTGGGATCTGATGAATTGAGAAGACATTACACATTTTGAAAAATTTGGATATACTAAATGGTGGTACAACCACCTTCCCCCCATTTTTTATGACTGCTTTATATGACTGAAAATTGTCAATTTGAACATATTTTTTTGGTGCTCTTAGGAAGATTCATGTAACATGACAATTTAAGGAAAAGATACCTACTGACTGGAGTTTGCATTAGGACATTCATTTATATCCTCAAAGTATGGTTCTAATATATAATAAATAGACTATCAGTGCAGTTATGTTGATGGGAAGTGAAAATCTTATATGTAATTATAAAACTGTCTTGATGAACACTGATGCCTATTTATTTTACCATCTTTTATTTGTTTCAAAGAAAATTAAACACAGAGTTTGTATATTTAATAGCATTTAAATAAGTAATTCTACCCTTAGAATGAAAACAAGGGGATAAAGTGCATTTTCCAAGTTTTCTTGAATATGGGAAGATGAAACAATTTCACCATTAGACTGTTTTTAATTCCAGGGTGGGATGAAATATTTGAAATAGTTTCAGAGTGAAGGTTCCCATGTGATGGCAATTTTAACTTGTGGGATGGTTGGATACTGAAAAGCTAGAGTCCAGTAGTGGATAGTCATAATGATAACAGAGTCCTCAAGGAAACATCTTATTAGATGTAGTAGCAATTCTAAAGGGTAGTCTGTGGATCTGTAAGAAGGGGGAAAGGCCCAAAGACTCTTTCAAGGGGTCTGTGAGATCAAACTCTTTTCATAATACCAAGATATTACTTGCCTTTTTCCATTTTGTTGACATATACATGGTTTGTGCAAAACCAATGGTAGGTAAAACTGCTGGCACCTTAGCAGAAACAAGGTGGTGGCTTCAAACTAGGCAAGTAAGGGGCCGGCCCGGTGGCGCACTGAGTGGTGCGCCGCTTGGGAAGCGCGGTGGCACTCCCGCCCGAGGGTTCGGATCCCACATACAGACCGGTTCCCGCTCACTGGCTGAGCGAGGCGCGGGAGCAACGCCGAGGGTTGCAATCCCGTTGCCGGTCCCCGGTCCAGTACGGGGGCAACAGTGAGGGTTGCGATCTGTTGCCGGACACGGAAAAAGACAAAAAGAAAAAAAAAAAAAAAAAAAAACTAGGCAAGTAAACAGTCATTGTATTCTCTAATGGCGTACGCTCACAGTAAAAATGTGGCGGTTTCACATAAGAATTTCTTTGATAAAGAAGTAAAATTTATTAATTTTATTAAATCTCAACCCTCAAGTGAACACTGTTTTACTATTCTGTGTGATGAAGTAGGAAGTGCACAGAAAGCAGTTCTGTTGTATACTGATGGTTGTCTCGAGTTCAGGCATTCATGAAACTGGGTTTCAAGCTCAGCTATCTGCATTGTTCATGGAATACCATTTTTAATTGTAAGAGTTATTGACAAACTGGTTATTCATATTTGGATATTTGGCAGACGTTTACTTGAAAATGTAATGAGCCTGTCAATTCAAGGAGTGCAACTGAGAAAAAGTGGCCAATGATAAAATTTGAGCTTTTAAGTGAAAATTAGAATTTTAGAAGATTATTATCTACTACCTTGAGCCTGATAGCTGCCACTGATGAGATCACAGTGATGTTAATAAATGTGCCTTTTTAATATTATGAAATGAAATAGGTCACCATTTGGAAGATCTACATGACTCAGTGAACCAGTATTTTTTTTTTTTTTTGTCCTTTTTGAGAGTGGGCGCACCGCAGGCGCACCGCAAGCGCACCGGTCATCCCTATATAGGATCCGAACCTGCGGCAGGAGCGCTGCTGTGCTCCCAGCGCCGCACTCTCCCAAGTGCGCCACGGGCTCGGCCCAGTGAACCAGTATTTTTCATATAACCAATGAATGATGTTAAAAACCATGTATATATAAAAGATCCAAAATGCAGGACAGATCCATGGATTTTAATGTAATAGTAGTAAAAGTTTATTGATGTGGCTTCAGATTCCACATTGCAACTAAACTTCTACCCTGTGGAGTTTTAATGTTGTATCAAAGAAGGAATATCCACAATTATTGAGCAGGTTATAAATATACTCTTTTCTAACTATATATTTCTGAGAGACAGATTTTCTTTAAGTACATCAACCAAACAACATATTGCAACAAATGCAATTAAAAATACTTGCAAAAATATAAAATAATGAGCTCTTCTCACTAAAAAAAATTTTTCGAAAAATGTAGTTATTTTTTATTTAAGTGTTATTTATGTTAATGTACTAGATTTATTGTTATTTAAAATGAATTCATAGATGTTTTTATAATTTCTTAGTTTGAATTTCACTTTGGGTAAATATCAATATATGTAGCCTACATAAACAAAAGCTCTTTGGGGTTCTCTGTAGTTTTCTAGAATATACTGTGGTCCTGAGACCAAAAAGCCTGAGAACTGCTGATTCCACTATATAAGGTTATCTTGCTGTTAGAGGACAGGAAGAATAGAATCCTAGGATTTTTTTTTTTTTTTTTTTTTTGCTTGTGTAAAGGAGAGAACCAAGGTGGTTATCCAGAGTATTAGGATAATAATACGGTAAATCGCTAAATAGAAAGGAATCAGGCTCTAAAATTCAGCAATGTGTTTAAGATTTATTTTCTCTTTCTTTTCCTCTTCCACCAAATGTCATTTTTTTTTTCATCTTTTGGTTTATTTGGATGGTGCATGCAGTTTTCCCTGTTCTGCTTGTCTTTCCCTCTCCTAAATATCTCCTCTACTCCAACCAGAAAGACCCTCCTGCCTACCATCTACTCAGACTAGTTCTATTGATTTCTTCCTTCATGTTCTCCCTCAGTTCATTTCTCAGTATGTCCTTCCATGCAAGACTGATGTACTTGCCACCCTTTCCTCTTAGCTCTGACCTGTCGCCTTTATTCACTGGGTTTTCTTCTATCCAGATTTCTTTTTGTGTTGTATCCTTCTTTGAAGGACTGATTTAAATGCCTTTAAAAAAAAATGACTGATAAGGGGATCACAACCTTGGCTTGGTGTCGTGAGCACCACGGTCAGCCAGTGAGCCAACCGGCCATCCCTATATAGGGTCAGAACCTGTGGCCTTGGTGTTATCAGCACTGTACTCTCATGAGTGAGCCACAGGCCGGCCCTTAAATGCCTTTTTGTACATGAAATATTTCTAGTGTATCAT